ACTTTTTAAATTAATAATCAGAATAATTTTTTTAAAAAAAAAAAAAAACTGAAACATTGAAAAACTGTATCATTATCATATACAAGATTCATAATTTTAGAGAAAGTGAAAACAACATTATTTAAAAAAAGAGGTTTACAAGAACCTTACTTCATTTAAGGACTTGTTACATCAAGGAGAAAGCATATACAAAAACTAGAGGATGACAATCATTTTTCACATATTTATTGTAACACAAATTTGTATGCTAATTATTTGAAAAAGGATTGTTGTACTTTAGTTTTTGTGTATTCTTTATTGATGTAATAAGTCCTTAAATGAAATAAGGTTCTTGCAAACTATTTTTTAGAATAAGAAGCATGATCATAAGCAACATTATTTTCATATTGTATTTACACATTTCATTATCAACATTAACATATTTTAATTTCACTTTCTTAGAAATAAACAAGAAGAATATCTGACAAATAATAAAATAAAATGATTCTAGAATGATTTTTAATTTCAATAAACTTATTTGAAAATAAGAGTCAGCTTTGATTTTGATCACAGTCAAAATTTTGAAGAATCTGTAATTAGTTTTTCTTTGTATCAAATAAAAAGAAAAGAATATCACAAAATGTCAAAATTAAAGTTTCATAACTGGAAACAAAAATAAAATTTTATTACTGATAAAGAAATCTATAAACATAAAACAAGAAAAAAAATAATGTCTAGTTTAATTATAATATGTAGTTTCATTATCAAAAAATTTTAAACTTAAAAAAATTATAAGACTAAATTTTGAAGTTATAAATATACAATATAAGTTAGAATAGAAATAGAAATAATATATATATATTAATATCTAAACTTTTAAAAAATATATATATATTTTAAAAGTAGAGTTAGTGAGAGAAACAAATTAGTATTATCTAGGAAATACCAATATACATGACATTATAACATTATATTATATTCCAAATTGAATAAACTACTTTAATTATAGTTTAAATTATAGTTTAAGAGTTTAAAATTGGAAAATTAGAATAATAATAAAAATAAAAATGATTTTATATACAGTGATACCCCGAACTTACGCGATAGGTGGGACCGAGCGATAACCGCGTAAGTCGGGGTATAATTTTGCAATTTGTGTAAAATCCAAGTCGAATGTATGTAAGCTAATAAATGTTCTCGTTAATCTTATCTCGTCTTTTGATTTGTTCACGGTTACAAGAAATCACCACATAGAGTCTCTCAAGTCTCTGTAGATATAACAAACACAAAAATAAATAACACAAAATAAATTGTAGCTATGTGATGATTCCGCGCGATACGTCCGAACATGTAAGCTGAACAATAGTGTGGGGGAGTGAGTAATCAAGAGTTGTGTGGCGCTCAAACAAAAGACGAATCGACGAGATTTGAAAATTGCATAACTCAGAGTTCGCGTAAGTCGGGGTAGCATAAGTTGAGGTATTACTGTATATGATTGCAGGATATTTTACTTTTTAGACCCCAAGAATGATTTTCTGTCTTAATAACTTAAATAACTGAAATAACTTTTCCTTTAGGGCTCTCCAGCAATGCACATTCTTTTCGTCAACTGTAAATCTTTTACTGGCTGCACAATTTCCACTTTCTTCAGTGCACAATAAAACTTTTCTTTTGAATTCAGCATCATATGTAAACCATTTTTTCATTATTAGTGAGTATGGGTAATAAAAAAATTTTAAATTTGATTCTACACACCTGCTATCAAACAGCAACTGGATTAAATCAGAAAAGTGCAAACAGGGAACCATCGAATAAACTGCTATCAACGATAGTAATATTATGTGCATGCATAGAGTGTAAAGCAAAGACCTGATTGTTGGGGAGTGGGATATCGGCAAAAATAAGAAGTTAAAATATTTGCTTTAAATTTAAGCCACACCCTAATTTTATATCTTAAAAATTGGAATAAAAAGTGTGGTTTAAATTCAAAGTAATAAAGTATATTTATTATTTATCTTCTATATTGATATACAAATAAAGGAGTCAGGTTCATAAGCTTTTGTGTATTAGCTCCTCAGCCCTAATTAAGAGTATCAAATTCTAACTTATTGCCACAAACTAAATATAATAAACCAAATGATTGCTGAATTCATTTGGACTACTTTATTTACTTTAATATTTAATAATTAATAATAGCGGTAAATTAATCCAGAAATTGTTTGGCTTAATATAGGACTTTGAGATATTTACAAATTAAATATATTATCTGAATCATTTTGTTTATAAAATGTATTATTATTTAAACTGATTATATCAGTAAAATGAAAAATTAACTTTATTTATTTACCTTCCATAGATCATAATCACTCATAACAAGGTAAGCTCTAATATTTCCATAATCTTTTGCAATTTGTAAACATTCTGTGCCAACATCCAAATCATGACCAGAACACTAAAAAGTAAAAAATTTTAATATATAGAGGTGATTCAGAATAAAACTCTTTCATTTGATTCAGAATAAATCTGAATCAAATGAAAGAGTTGTCCCTTTATTGAAATAAATGCTTATTTTAAAGTCATCAATAGTTTCATTTCAAAAACTATAAAAAGCTATTTTTTCAAATTTAAAAAACAGTTATGTAAAACTTACTTGTTGTATCAAGGAAACTTCAGTGAAAATTTTAAAATCTTCAAGCACTTTCAAGCTATACACCATCACTAGAACAGTGGTTTCTGAAACTGTGGTCTGGGGACCTGAGAGGTCCATGAGATACTTGTCAGAGTGTCCACAGGCCCATTTTCTAAAAACACTGTTATTTTATCACTTAGCAAATATTTAAAAATATTATTTAAAGCTATATTAAGCTTTAAATGAAATGTGATAAATTTGTATATTATAACTTATATTAAAATGTTATATTTTAATGAATTTTAAAAAAAAAGTAGGTTCTTTTTATTAATTTTATAATTTATTAATTCTATTATTTTAACAAAATTTTTCCAAATAATGCAATTGAAAACTGTCTAAAAATAATATAAGATGCCTTAGTTACTTATTATTATTGCAGTTTATTAATTAATGACTAAAAGCTAACAGCTGAAATAGGGGATCTGCTAAAATATATTTCTAAAAGGGTCTGCAACCTGTCAAGGGTCTGCAAAGTTTTGAAGCCACTGAACTAGAGATATAAGAAATAGGCTTCTTGCTGATTTTATTTCTCAAGTTGACTTACAATAATAAAATAGCATGAAAGCACTTGAAGATTCTAAAAAACTTCACACTAAGTAATTTGAAGTGAATTTTGAGGAATTTCCTTAACAAGTATAGATATGTTGCTGATACAGTAATAGATTAATAACTAAAATCTATTTTGATATAAATAACTCCATTGTATGAAGAACATGAAACTCAGAAAACAAATGTTTGAAAAATTTTAGGATTTAGAAGTTGCCATCATTTCAGAAAAATAGAATATACAAGATGTTGGTGCAAGACATGTCTATACTCACTGAATACTGTGTTACTAGTATTAAAAGACTAAACACTAAGATATTTAAGCTATCTTAATAATCCATTAGTGGGCAAACAAATCATTTCAGTTGATGAAATGCTAATTTCAACATTGGTACGGAATTTTAACACTGAAAGGCAGTTTTATTTATTTAATGAACAATTATTGCCGTGAAGAATATATTTTTATTTATTTTGACTTTTGATTTATTAACATCACTGAATTTATAAGTAAGAAGTGTATTTTAGAAAACTGAAAGTTATGTTTCAAAATAATAAAACACTTTCAATCAATTAAATGAAACATAAACATTACAGGCAGTTTCAATGCAATTTTTCAGTTGGTTTATATGGCATGTTTTTGTAATGTGGTGTTCGGTAAGCAGCGGCTGGAATGAGTTGCAGAGCATTATTATTTCTATGATGAACAGAGAATATAAGTTCTGGAGATGTACGTATGTCTAAATCCAGGAAAGAAATTCTATTGTTTTCTTGTTCTTCAACAGTAAAATTAATTGAAGGATAAATGGAGGCTAATGTTTGAGTAAATTGAAGTAAGTTTTCATTAGAGCTATCCCACACAATTAACACGTCATCGACGTACTGTAGGTACATGAGAGGATACTGGATAGTTAGGGGGGCATTAAAAACATGATATTCTATATTTCTCATGACTAGTTCAGCGAGAATAGATGATAATGGAGAGCCCATTGACACCCCTTGTGTTTGTTTATATATTTTTTCATTAAATTGGAAATAATTGCTTTGAGTGACAAGACGAAGAGCTTCACGCAGGTGTAAAACATGTAATGCTGGATAATTAGAATTGAGGAATAGGGTATTTGCTAGCATGATGGCTCAAAATGTGGAACAGACGGATATAAAGAAATAACATCGACTTTATAAAGTTGGTAGAAACTGGAGGGAAGGTTTCCTAATTTTTGTAAGATGGTACGTTTGGCTTCAGTGGAGGCAGCTGTTACAAGCTCAGAATGTGAGATTAAAGACATGATATGTTTTGCTAGTGGAACTTCAAGATGGTACATGGGATGGGAACGTTTATTGACCAATGGTCTTAGCAGCCAAGACGGTTTATCGGTTTTGGCCTTGAAAAATAATCTGGGGCAGATGACATTCGACAGAGGATTAAGAGGACCAACTAGAGATTCTACAATTCCTGGTAATGCTATAAATTTGTGCGCTTTCCTTAAGACAGTGGATGTAGGATCTGGTTTTAGTATAATGGATTTGGAATATTTGAGGAACTCATTAGCTCTATCTAGGAAATCTAGGATATTTGAGGAACTCATTAGCTNGTATTTTATTCATATTTATTTATTTATTACATCACAAGTAAGAAGTGCCAGTTGGCTATTGATCTCCAGCTTCTGTTTAACAACATTCCAACAACAATAAAAATAAACATATAAAAACACGTAAAAAACCCAATACCATACATTTATTATTTCTTGTTCCTATATTAATTCAAACATTACATTCTATTTTTAAACTGTATTCTTTTATTCAATGTTGCTGTTAACTGAAGGTCAGTTAAACTGATTGAAAAAATTCTTAATTTTAATAAATATGTTGCTAGGATTATGAAGGTGATTTTTTTGTGTGTTATATAATTGTATATGATGTATAAAAACGTTAATATTAAATAGCAATATTACAAATTAATTTATCTCTAAAAATATAATTTTATATTTTCTTTAAAATATAAATTTAAATATACCTTTACATTCTTGAAAGTTTTGCTCAAATTACATTTTAGACATTCCAGAAAATCATTATTTACTCCATCTGTCTTAATAAAAATTTGTATTCCTTCTGAAATAAGATAAAATTGATTACTTGTTATTTAAAATTATATATAAATACTTTTTCTTTATTATATTATTGAATAGTTTACTTTTTTGTATAAGCTACAAGGTTTACACTTACTTGCATTTGATGTGTAAATCAGTTTTTCCACCCAATTTCACATTTGCTGAAACTGATTTTTTGATTTTATGTATTTATAAGGCTACTTTAATTCTGCTTTATGGTGTTTTAACTAACTTTGATGGCAATGTATCACAATATGTAATACATTACTGATCTGTCATTTTTATGACAATTTACAGAAATGGAATATGAATGAGACAGCAATTAAGACAGTGCTTTTCATACTTACAGTAATATATGTAACTCTACATACAATTACAATAACTGCAAGATAAAATTACCAAGTTGGGGTGCTGCTATTAGAAAAGCATTGAAAAACACTAAATTAGAGCCAATTACTTAATAAAATAAAGCAAAATTTATGCTTCTAAAAGAAAGACTAGGCTCAATATTGCAAAAAAAAAATCTATAATGGAAATAAAAACTTGAGAGATTTTCAAGGCTAATCCAGGGGTCGACAACCTTTTGAGTCGGAAGAGCCAAAAATTACAATTTACAAAATTTCAAAGTTTTTAAAGAGCCACAAAATTTTTTCTTGCCAACAATAAATAGTACTCGCATAAATAAAGTTTTTTGAAAAAAAAAAACTAATCTATTTATTCAGAATTGTCTTGCGTCGAAAGCGAATTAAATCTCATAGAAACATTTGACAACGGCTTTATTCGAGAGCTTCCGACGGACTGATGACAGTGACGATGCGTGTCACGGGGGAGGGGTGCAATGAAAAACGAGTACAAGTGGCTGAGAGATAGAATCGGTGCCTAATCCTCGTTAATCGATTCAGAACGATTTTAAATGGTTTTTTTTTTTTTTTTTGATAAAGTAAATAATATTTGCGTATGGAACTAAAGAGCCACAGCTTCACACCCAAAGAGCTGCATGTGACTCGCGAGCCGCAGGTTGCCGACCCCTGAGCTAATCCCATTAGTATCTAAAAGCAACAGTACATAATTTGCAGCAATTGCCAAAATTAATTATTTCAAAATAGAAGCAGTTTGGTCTTTTAGATGATCTGTCAATTTCAAGTAACCTCAAGTAACTCTCTTTCAAGTAAACTCAAGAATTAATTTCAAGTAATTAATTCAGCAGTATGTTTTCTTTTATAACTACTATCAAAAATGTTAAGAATGAGATCAATCCAACTTACTATTGTAAACCCACTTATTGACCTCACAGTTGTCACTTACAAAATGCAGTGTTTTTAGTTAAATCATGATTAAAAATTTGAACAGAAACAGAAAAGTTAAAATATTTTTGATTTGTTTTCATATATAAACAAATTGAAAATATTACCTCTCAAAACACGATTCATTAGTCAACTGTCAAACCAACTGTTGTATAATATTGAGCTATTTTCCACCAACTATAATTTTAATTACTAATTAATTTGTCCTAGAAGGAGTTGTTAGGTGCCATCTTGTATGAAATTCAATAATTATAATTTAATTAAATAATTTTAGAAAATTCTGGAAGAAAAGAATTGGTCTGGAGCAGGAGTTACTGGTTCAAGTCCTGTTCTGGGCCAATTCTTTTCTTCCAAAATATTTTCTTCCCTTCCTTGACTGACACTATAATTGCCATATCTGATTCCAGTTCCTATTTACCCAAGCAGACATCAAAATGGAGTATCTGTGGTGTGGGGCAACTGTTTGTCACCCAAACCTTAAGGGCCTAATCATTGGCTAGTACTACACAGGACAATAAAAACAAATCTCACTCTAATGTGAAGTAATGATTACAATAGATAACCCAGAAGTAGTGTAAGAAGTAATTTGGATTGCGGACAGCTGCAATTACAACTGCTGTAAACAGTAAGAGATGGGTGTCATTGACAACAACTAATTCCAAAATTGTCAGATAGCATGGATAATTGGATATTCCCAAGTGAACAAGTTGAGGATGGCAATCTTCAGCATCAGTTTTCTCTAAGAAATTGCAACTGGGTATCATATCATGGCTGCAAAGTTCCAAGTCTAAAAATTTGATAGAAATAATTAATGAACCAGCCTATATTCAAGCCATGTATTGTTCTAAGACATTCAACAATGTAATGGCTGGTAATACTTGAGTCAATATCTTGTATAAATCAAACCAAGATAGAACAAAGGGTGTGAGACTTTACTGAAACAACATCTTCCATATTAATGCAGCTGTATTAAAAAAGTTATAGTGATTACCAGCGTATTAAATAAGTCTTCATCAAATTCTTTCATTAGATGCTCTAATTTATCATCAACTTGCTGTATAGTACAAAAATGTCCTGAATATAGGCATCACTCCACTATCCACATTTGTTTGGAATCCATAATAGGCCTATCTTCTCTGCCATCTAGGCCATCTAAAGACTGGTAAAGATCCAAATTCTGGATCTAATCATCCTAGATGTAAACTTATTCAGAAGTGACTGCATTCCCCAAATTCACAATACCTGGAGCTGCTACCAAAAATGTCACAGAACACAGAATATAGTTGATTAAAATTTCAATTAACAAACATGAACTATTTGGATTGGTATTGTGCTTTTTGTCCTTCTATTTCTATAATTGAATAAGTGAGCACTAAGTTTTGGCTCTCAGGAAGATTTATCTCACACTATTGATGCAGTAAGAGAAATCACAGAGATGGGTGAACCCTAGTTATTTTTTGTAACAATGGTATGCATTTTGGACAGTTGATCTGTCTCTCTTCATCCATTCTTATTACAAATTATGAGTTACAGATATGTGATTTATAATTATAAAACCATGTCTTCAGATCTGACAAATTCTTTAAAATTAAATAATTTATGCATGCACCTTCTGTTCATTTACCAATGCAATTGCCTTACTTCTTTGAATTCTTACAGACATTTTATTTATACATTGTATAAACATCTTTGGTGATTATAATTATTGTTTAATTAATGAAGTAAAGATATGCGATTTCTCCTACTGAATCAATATTATGTAATAAGTCCTTCTGAGCAGTGCTGCATTCGAGATTTAATCTTGGGGGAACCAAGTTGAATGGATAAAAAATTTTTTAATGCAAATGCAAATAAAATTCCCACTTTATGTAACTGCCAATTCATAAGTAATCTATATATATATATAAATGGACATGTATGTCCCTATATTTCACTTTTCCGCCAAAACTACACATCACACGTGAATGGTGTTTGTATGTGGTAGTAGCCCCAAGTCTCCATTCGTGCACCAGGGGGTTGCATCTCGATAGCTATAAGGGTGTGGGAGATATGGGCTTGAAAGTGGTTGAAAGTGGCTTTCTATTTCGAATATTGTTCGAATTTAATTCGAACAATATTTGAATTAAATTCAAACATAAAATTTGAATATTGGTTCGATTATAGAATGATTGTAAACGTTCCAGAAACATTGAAAATAGTTCGTTTGACTTGACGTGAACAGGAGACGTCCAGAAATAGAATCAGGACCAGGTCGCTAATTAGTCTGGAAACGGGGGACCTAATTCTTGCATTCTGTGAAAATGGGTAAGATTGGCTATAATGTAATTATCTTAATCTTCACTATTGTTACTTTTTGTCCACAAATAAAAACCCAGCGAAGCGGGTCCTCGCAGCTAGTATAGAAATATAAATGACAGAATATAAATAAAAAAACGAATTGTAATTAGGAAAATATTTTTGGAAAATTTACTAGGGTTTGTTTTGCTTTTACTTTGGAGGGTGCCATGTCCCCTTGGCTCACTCACTGGAAGCACCACTGCTTCTGAGAGCCAAAATTTATCACTCACATATTCAGTTATAAAAATTACCTAATTAATGCCAAAACAACAGAACAAAAAAAAAGGAACAAAACTTTGATAATTCACAATCAGAGAAAGTCCAATGCACTGAAATTTTCAAAATGAAACTCTTCTTCAAGCTTGTCAGAATCAACATATTTTGAAAATTAGTATGTATCATCCAATCAGGTTGACCCGTGTTTTACAAAATCCATGGCAACATAATAAATCAAAGTTCTTGCAAAAAATAAACGAAAAATAATTATAATGAAGTAAATGACAGCACAGCTTGCAATTAAATACATTTAAAAGAAGATATAACAATAAATAATACTAATTTGTGAATTTTTGTGTCTGTGTGCATGTTTATAAAAAGAAAGAAATAAAGAAAAAATGATTTACCTTTTAATATTCCTTCTGTAGCATATAAATCTTTTTTATAAGTTACCTATGTCATAAAAATGCAACTTTTTAAATTAATAATCAGAATAATTTTATTTAAAAAAAAAAAAAAACTGAAACATTGAAAAACTGTATCATTATCATATACAAGATTCATAATTTTAGAGAAAGTGAAAACAACATTATTTAAAAAAAGAGGTTTACAAGAACCTTACTTCATTTAAGGACTTGTTACATCAAGGAGAAAGCATATACAAAAACTAGAGGATGACAATCATTTTTCACATATTTATTGTAACACAAATTTGTATGCTAATTATTTGAAAAAGGATTGTTGTACTTTAGTTTTTGTGTATTCTTTATTGATGTAATAAGTCCTTAAATGAAATAAGGTTCTTGCAAACTATTTTTTAGAATAAGAAGCATGATCATAAGCAACATTATTTTCATATTGTATTTACACATTTCATTATCAACATTAACATATTTTAATTTCACTTTCTTAGAAATAAACAAGAAGAATATCTGACAAATAATAAAATAAAATGATTCTAGAATGATTTTTAATTTCAATAAACTTATTTGAAAATAAGAGTCAGCTTTGATTTTGATCACAGTCAAAATTTTGAAGAATCTGTAATTAGTTTTTCTTTGTATCAAATAAAAAGAAAAGAATATCACAAAATGTCAAAATTAAAGTTTCATAACTGGAAACAAAAATAAAATTTTATTACTGATAAAGAAATCTATAAACATAAAACAAGAAAAAAAATAATGTCTAGTTTAATTATAATATGTAGTTTCATTATCAAAAAATTTTAAACTTAAAAAAATTATAAGACTAAATTTTGAAGTTATAAATATACAATATAAGTTAGAATAGAAATAGAAATAATATATATATATTAATATCTAAACTTTTAAAAAATATATATATATTTTAAAAGTAGAGTTAGTGAGAGAAACAAATTAGTATTATCTAGGAAATACCAATATACATGACATTATAACATTATATTATATTCCAAATTGAATAAACTACTTTAATTATAGTTTAAATTATAGTTTAAGAGTTTAAAATTGGAAAATTAGAATAATAATAAAAATAAAAATGATTTTATATACAGTGATACCCCGAACTTACGCGATAGGTGGGACCGAGTGATAACCGCGTAAGTCGGGGTATAATTTTGCAATTTGTGTAAAATCCAAGTCGAATGTATGTAAGCTAATAAATGTTCTCGTTAATCTTATCTCGTCTTTTGATTTGTTCACGGTTACAAGAAATCACCACATAGAGTCTCTCAAGTCTCTGTAGATATAACAAACACAAAAATAAATAACACAAAATAAATTGTAGCTATGTGATGATTCCGCGTGATACGTCCGAACATGTAAGCTGAACAATAGTGTGGGGGAGTGAGTAATCAAGAGTTGTGTGGCGCTCAAACAAAAGACGAATCGACGAGATTTGAAAATTGCATAACTCAGAGTTCGCGTAAGTCGGGGTAGCATAAGTTGAGGTATTACTGTATATGATTGCAGGATATTTTACTTTTTAGACCCCAAGAATGATTTTCTGTCTTAATAACTTAAATAACTGAAATAACTTTTCCTTTAGGGCTCTCCAGCAATGCACATTCTTTTCGTCAACTGTAAATCTTTTACTGGCTGCACAATTTCCACTTTCTTCAGTGCACAATAAAACTTTTCTTTTGAATTCAGCATCATATGTAAACCATTTTTTCATTATTAGTGAGTATGGGTAATAAAAAAATTTTAAATTTGATTCTACACACCTGCTATCAAACAGCAACTGGATTAAATCAGAAAAGTGCAAACAGGGAACCATCGAATAAACTGCTATCAACGATAGTAATATTATGTGCATGCATAGAGTGTAAAGCAAAGACCTGATTGTTGGGGAGTGGGATATCGGCAAAAATAAGAAGTTAAAATATTTGCTTTAAATTTAAGCCACACCCTAATTTTATATCTTAAAAATTGGAATAAAAAGTGTGGTTTAAATTCAAAGTAATAAAGTATATTTATTATTTATCTTCTATATTGATATACAAATAAAGGAGTCAGGTTCATAAGCTTTTGTGTATTAGCTCCTCAGCCCTAATTAAGAGTATCAAATTCTAACTTATTGCCACAAACTAAATATAATAAACCAAATGATTGCTGAATTCATTTGGACTACTTTATTTACTTTAATATTTAATAATTAATAATAGCGGTAAATTAATCCAGAAATTGTTTGGCTTAATATAGGACTTTGAGATATTTACAAATTAAATATATTATCTGAATCATTTTGTTTATAAAATGTATTATTATTTAAACTGATTATATCAGTAAAATGAAAAATTAACTTTATTTATTTACCTTCCATAGATCATAATCACTCATAACAAGGTAAGCTCTAATATTTCCATAATCTTTTGCAATTTGTAAACATTCTGTGCCAACATCCAAATCATGACCAGAACACTAAAAAGTAAAAAATTTTAATATATAGAGGTGATTCAGAATAAAATATCTCAGTTTAATTAAATCTGAATCAAATGAAAGAGTTGTCCCTTTATTGAAATAAATGCTTATTTTAAAGTCATCAATAGTTTCATTTCAAAAACTATAAAAAGCTATTTTTTCAAATTTAAAAAACAGTTATGTAAAACTTACTTGTTGTATCAAGGAAACTTCAGTGAAAATTTTAAAATCTTCAAGCACTTTCAAGCTATACACCATCACTAGAACAGTGGTTTCTGAAACTGTGGTCTGGGGACCTGAGAGGTCCATGAGATACTTGTCAGAGTGTCCACAGGCCCATTTTCTAAAAACACTGTTATTTTATCACTTAGCAAATATTTAAAAATATTATTTAAAGCTATATTAAGCTTTAAATGAAATGTGATAAATTTGTATATTA